TGTGATTTATGGTGTGTATTATACAAGTTGTTAAGTTTAAAGTGACGAGAAACATACTGATTGGGGAATTACTGTATACTAAAAGTTTGTAACGAGAAAGAATAAACTAGTTCTAATTAAGAAAGGACTTGTATCGCTAAAGTTTCTTCGGAAAGAATTTTTACGGACAATTAACTAACGACCGGAGGTGTAACACCACTATTCATTGACAAAACGTAGAATAACAGTTGGCGATGGGTGGTGTTGATTATCTTCCTTCCCTCTTAGCTATCACTTCTAAATTAGGAATGGCTAACAAACAAACAAATCAAGAGAATATCAGTGTAATTAAAGCACAGCATTACTGAACCTTAGTGGTCGACAAAAATGATATAGTTTCAGGTTCGGGATGAATGTCGTCTCTGTGTGAAAAAATATTTTACAGCTAGACTACGTATTTTTTATTATTTCTTTCTGTTCGTCATCGCAGTACAATGTGGTTACAATACTGTGTTTTACTTATTTCAGGATTCGTATATTGTGTTGAAATAGTGTTTTTTTCTGGTATAAACAACGTGTTACTCCATATACTTGCAGGATTCTTGTTATCATTGGTAAGTTTATCCAACTTAACAGAGCATAATTAAAGAATGTTTAAAAATTAAAGACAAATAAATTGTATAAATAACTTCTATATTTGGTAAGGAATAGTGTAATGACAGTGTTTTTATAAAAATTAATATCCACACTTACGAAGTTATTAAAACTGCAAATACTGTTAATTTTTATTAATAAAACCTGTGAATAAAAACACCAATCATTATAAATAAGTAATTATTTTTTACGTTTGAAAATATTAAAGTTTTGCGTCTAGGGTTCGATGAAAAGTGATCATAGTTTTATTAAAGTTAATTATTGATGGAAAAAATGGTTAAAAACAGTAATTATTGTTTAAATGTGCTATACTGCATAAAATTAAAATTATGGCTGTTGATTGGGTGTTATCCGTTAAATCATTCTAATACAAAAAAAGAGAAGAATATCACATAAAATTAACTTCACCGTACAATCGAACGCATCTTATACTAAATTCCTTTGCTTTACACATGTTCCAAATCTACAACTCTACAAATATTGAGTAAAATATAGTACAGTTATTGGTCATTAACAAGAAAGAGGTAGCGGTGGCGTTCAACAACTAATTCTATATATATATATATAACGCTCGATAAATAGGCCTAGAATGATTTTCATATTTTAACAACAATAAATAACCTCTCTCTATATATATACATACACCAAATTGCTAGAATTCTTATTCCTTTGCAAAAAGCAGTAGCGACAACATCTTCTATCATAGTTTAAAACTTGGCAAGGATGTAACATACAATATGCACAATTTAGAGTTCGGACAAAATATTTTCACTGACCTTGTCGAACAGAAAAAACAAAATTCAGCTATTATGCTTGAGTATAACTAAAACAATAAATATAAGGGGAATACAAAAAAAACATCAGTATAATACAATAACTCAATGCTAATCAACAAAAGATACCATTTTGAAAAAAATAAAACATGGCTCCACATCCTCTTAACAGTAAAATGAAAATATTCCTTCCCGTATTTTGCATCACGTTGATTTATTAAGTTTTCATTTCTCTCCTTGTCACAAGAATGAAGTAAATACGTGGTTTACGACAAAAGAAATTTATATATTATTTCTTAGTTATCAGATGAATTTCAAAAGTGGCCGTGCATTTATACAGTTAACCTTACATCGTTTTCCTTGACACCATAATCAAATTATTTTATACCGTTGACCTTATGTTTTCTTTCACACAATAATCAAATTATTTTATACCGTTGACCTTATGTTTTCTTTCACACAATAATCAAATTATTTTATACTGTTGACCTTATATTGTTTTCTTTCACACAATAATCAAATTATTTTATACTGTTGACCTTATATTGTTTTCTTTCACACCATAATCAAATTATTTTATACCGTTGACCTTATGTTTTCTTTCACACAATAATCAAATTATTTTATACTGTTGACCTTAGATTGTTTTCTTTCACACCATAATCAAATTATTTTATACCGTTGACCTTATATTGTTTTCTTTCACACAATAATCAAATTATTTTATACCTTTGACTTTATATTGTTTACCTGTACAGTATAATCAAATTATTTTACACAGTTGACCTTGTATTTTTTCCTATATACTATAATCAAAACATTGTATACCATTGACTTAATAGTGTTTTCATTTACAGCATAATAAAATATTTTTATACAGTTGACCTCAAAAACTATAGTATTAATTTTGGAGCTTCTTTAGATGTTACTTACATACAAAAGATCGAATTAAAATTTAGTTTACGATAATTTCGAACCGTTATCATATTGTGTATTATTTGCAAAACCAATACTTAGATCGGTAGGTTGACGAAGTTAACAAAGTATAAAATACATATCATATTAGTTTACACAATATATATATAGAATTCAAACATAATATAAGAAAATGTATGACTTTTAAGACTTACTTAACTTCAGAAAACCCAAACAACTTAACGTAAAATAAATAATCATACTCTCGTACTCACTAGGTCTTCCTATATACGGACGACACATGTCCAAATGAATCTTTTTTTATATATAATATAGACTTTGTTTCACAACACTAAAAACTCTAACATTTGCTATAAAGAAATAATTGCATGGTAAAACGTTTATATTCAACAATCGTGTTATAAGTTAAAACATCTTCGACTACAAGATTAGAGCTGCTTTCATTTTCATTGCTTTTTTACTCAGTCTTGATATTTAAAATTTGTGGTTTCATGATGTATTTGTTTCTATAAAAGGCACACTGGTTAATTGTGTTAAGGTTTGCCATTGGTTGACCTATTGTAATAAGGTTTGCCATTGGTTGACTTCTCGTGAAGGAAATTTACAATATGAAACTTGGTACAAACTTTATTGATTATTCAGCACAGTTTTACTGGCCTAACTAGTGCGTGTAATAATGTATTGCTATGCTATTCTGTGCATAAATGTTTCCATGATCAACAAGTAGAATGTTCGTTTAAAACTTCTGTGATATAACTACCATGAAACAAATGTGATTTATTGTAAATTGAAAAGGTTGTCCAGTGAAGAACGTATTGTCCCACGCACCCACACACAACGAAAATAGCTGATGACTAAACAAATAGTAAATCTAAACTAAGCTTAGTTTATATCAACAGATGGCGCTAAAATTCCACAGGAGCAGGTTTTGTGTTGTCAGCCCTCTCATCAAAACTGTCCCCGTCTAGTTTCAATTCTTTTTGTTTGAGGCGTTCTCGCTTTGAAAGAGAAAAACACAAATGAACAAGTGGATCGTAAAACAAACATACATAACTCATATTTTAAATAACAAATGAATAATTAACTCCATAATTATAGTTATGTGTATAGAAACATTTGTTGTAAATATTTAATTGTTCCAGTGCTATTTATGTCAAATAAATGAGAGAGCGCCCCCCCACCCCAAGTTATGTAATTAAAAAAGGATAAAACAGCTAGACGGATAGAAAAAAAATTAAATTTATGACAAAAACTTACTAATGACGAAGGGGGACGTCGTGCCTTGCTAATTTCTAAATCAGTTGGTGGGTGATATACTGGGGTTGGAGGAACATTTCCACGACCATTGACATCATAGACATCAAAGTTACCCCCAGTGGTGTAGAAAACAGATTCTTCATGCTGTTTGCCACAGTAAGTAGGCTGATTACCAGAAGCCTAAAATATGCGAATTTCTGTATTTCATTTCGTCTAATAATCTTTAATCTAAACAAAATGCATCCAGTTTTTGTTTCGGGTAAAACATTTTAATATACTAAATTTTTGGCATTAAAACGTCATTTACTGATATCTCTAGTACAATTGGTGAGAAGATAAATAGTTTCAATCAAATCACAAATAAATTTTGATACTTGCTTCTAGAGGTGTTACACGACTTGTGGCTCTGTTCATCTGTTTCACTATTACAGCTGTCATGATAATAAGCACAACCATCAAGATGAAAACTCCAATTAGAATACCCAGGATGATGGGGGTGAAATCCAGGGAAATACCTAAAAAAAAATATATCGGAATAGTTGAGACGAGTAAAGAAATGTTTTAGCATTTTAACGTTATTGTATAAGACCAACCGAGATATCGACCTTCTGTTAACCATTTCTGTATACGACCAACCAAAATATCGAAGTTCTGTTAACCATTTCTGTATACGACCAACCAAAATATCGAACTTCTGTAAATCATTTCTGTTTAAGACCAACCGAGATATCGGCCTTCTGCTAACCATTTCTGTATAAGACCAACCGAGATATCGACCTTCTGTTAACCATTTCTGTATAAGACCGACCAAAATATCGAACTTCTGTAAATCATTTCTGTATAAGACCAACCGAGATATCGACCTTCTGTTAACCATTTCTGTATAAGATCAACCGAAATATCGACCTTCTGTTAACCATTTCTGTATAAAACCAACCGAGATATCGACCTTCTGTTAACCATTTCTGTATAAGACCAACCAAAATATCGAACTTCTGTAAATCATTTCTGTATAAGACCAACCGAGATATCGACCATCTGTTAACCATTTCTGTATAAGACCAACCAAAATATCGAACTTCTGTTAACCATTTCTGTATAAAATCAACTAAGCTATCGAAATACTGATAACCAATGAAGTATAGAAATAACGAACTGAGTTATTTGGAGTCACCAATCAAACGTAAACATTTTTAAAGATAACGTTTTAAACATTCAAGATAAACATATTCCTTATAGAAACAAAAGGGTGGCTGCAAGTAAAAAACCAGGTTGGCTCACAAAGGATATAAGTGATAAAATTAAAGAAAATCATAGTAAATTGAAGAAATTTAAATTAACTGATATGATGGGAAATTTAGAAGATTATAGAAGATAGAGAAAGTTGGTCAAACAGGAAATCAAATACGGATGTATGAAAAAAGTTGGGCTGAAAATGTAAAAGTAACAGTAAAGATTTCTTTAAATACATTAAGGGTAAATAAAATGTTAGGATGGGGGGTAGGACCCTTGAGGGATGATAAAGAAAGGCTCGTATCTCATGATTATGAGACGACTGGGTTATTAAATTCTGCTTTTTCTTTAGTTTTTACTAATTAAAATTTAAGAAATATTCCTCATCTTCACCAGTTGATAGATGGAAACAAGATCAAACAAGATGATCACATTAATTCTGAGCTTGTTATGAAAAAAATGGGGAGTTTAAAGAACTAAAAGGTTACTTGGCCAAATAATATGTTCCCAAGGGTTTTGATGGAGATTAATTATTGGATATGTGAGCCATTTGCTACTATTTTTTGTAAGTCTTTGAATAGTGGGCAGGTAACAGAGGATTGGAAGTTAACTAATGTAATTCCTATTTTCAAGGGAGATGATAAAATTTATCACAGAAATTATGGGCCTATTAATCTTACATCAACTGTAGGAAACGTTTTGGAAAGTCTGATAAAAGAAGCTTTATAAAGTCATTTAAAACAGCTTAGAATTTTATTGGATAGTCAATATGATTTCATTAAGGGAAAATCTCGCCTTACAAATATTTTACCAGTTTCTGAAAAGGTTACTGTTTATGTAGATGAGGGTAAAGGTGTAGATTTGGTGTAACTGTTCATCAATGCAGTACAAGACCAACTGAGATATTTAAGTTTGTTCACCAATACAGTATAAGACCAAATGAGATATTTAACTCTGTTCATCAATATATAACAAGACCAATTGAGATATTTAAGTTTGTTCACCAATACAGTATAAGACAATCTGAGATATTTAGATTTGCTCATCAATACAGTACAAGACTTTGTTCATCAATATATAACAAGACCAACTGAGATATTTACATTTGTTCACCAATAAAGTATAAGATCAACTAAGATATTTAACTTTGTTCATCAATACAGTACAAGACCACCTAAGAAAATTTAACTTTGTTCATCAATATATAACAAGACCAATTGAGATATTTAAGTTTGTTCACCAATACAGTATAAGACAATCTGAGATACTGAGATTTGCTCATCAATACAGTACAAGACCACCTAAGAAAATTTAACTTTGTTCATTATTATATAACAAGACCAATTGAGATATTTAACTTTGTTCACCAATACAGTACAAGACTAAGTGAGATATTTAACTTTGTTCACCAATACAAAGTACTAAATAATATATAAATCAACTCATCGCAAATGGTCCAGATAATACCTGCTGAGAAACTATAATTTTACTTGATGCTAAATAGAACAAAGAATTTTCGAATACGTCTTCACCACGCCTAAGAAAAGGGTTGGCGACTTTATTAAATATGCTATATTTATTATATTTCGATAATCAGAAACACAACACTGTTTCATTATTAATCCAAATAATATTACATTAAGTCCATAAACCTAAAATAAAATTATGTTTATGAAACGTCGCTGCAATGACGTCACAATATTTTAATTTTCTAAATATTCTCGTAGACCTATTTAGACAAAACATTTATAAATGACAAAAAACAGAAACATCCAAGGTATTTCTAAAAAAATTACCTGATGGCAATGGAGTAGTGGTGACAGTTGGAGACAATTGAACAACTGTTAATTGATTCCCATTCAAATCAGTTAATTTCAGTTCTCCGCTGTTGATTTTTTGCATCAGTTGGCTTGTTGCATCTTGCAAGCCAGCTTCATCAATAATGGTGACATTGTCGTTGTAAGGAATTAGTCCAAATTTTACATCGATACTTCCTATTGTGAAAATGTAGAGAAGACATCGAGGTGAGTAAGCACAAAATAAACACTCAGAAATAGCAGGTTAGACTTAATGTTACGTCGGTACGTTATGTGTTTTAAATCAGTGATTTGTTAAATTTAATGTTAGGTTTGGTACACGGCTAGCAGTACTATCAATAATACAATATTCTGTGTTTTAGATCAGTGATTGGTTAGGCTTAATGTTACGTTCGTCACACGTCTAAAAATACTATGAATAAACAACGCTGTGTTTTAATTCATGATTAGTTAGGTTTAATCAGTTAATGTTACGTTCGGTAATCGTCTAGCATAAAAACAAAAAAAAACAACTAATTTTATATCCTTCACAAGTGGGTTTAAGTCTGGCCTTGAGGCAGCTTTTTTGTACTTCACTGCATATTATTAGAAACATTTAATATTGTTGCGTATCTGCTTGTTTCTTAATTTCCCGTCGAATATCTTTCCGAGAAACTTCAGCGATACAAGTCCTTTCTTAATTAAATCTAGTTTATTCTTTCTCGATACAACTTTGCAATACACAGAATTTCCACAGTCACGTTAACTTAACAACTGGTATAATGAAATGCTATAATTCACAGCGATTCACGCACTTTACTTACGGTGCCAACTGTTCACTTTACTCAATTATCTCTATCTTCAATCTATCTGCCTATCTCTGCAATTCTATCTTCTTCGATGGCTTTATTTGTCGGGCTTATATACTAAAAAAAGAGGGCATCAGGAACAAACTAGAGTTGCCTGGAAGATTCATGATCCTTCTAGAAACTCCAGCGCGTATGCTCCCAGCGTCGCGTGACTTCCACTGTCGTAACACTGCCCCTTCCTTAGTATTGTTACGACAGCGGAAGTCATCTAACGCTAGTAACACGTCATGAGCTTCTAGAAAATTCATGTCCGTTCGTGAAGCCTCGAGTGTTTACTAGATGTGATGGTATTCTAGTATATAAGACCGCCAAGAAGTGACGGCAAAAATTGAACTGAATTGCAGACAAAGATAGAGACGGACAATTGAGTCAAGCGCGTGAGTCGTTCATTGTGAATTGTAGCGTTTGTCTAAGTTATAGCGTGACTGTGTAAATTAAGTGAATTTCAAAGTTGTATTGAGAAAGAATAAACTAATTTTATTTAGGAAAGGACTTGTATCGCTAAAGTTTCTTTGGAAAGAATTTTTACGGAAAATTAACAAACGAACAGAGACGTAACAAATTGGTGTCAGAAGTGGGATGGAAAACAAAAAAAATGGAAAGGAGAAGTGACAAATCAAACTACAGCTTAGCAGATTTGATGGCAGCAATACAAGAAGAACGAGAAAAGAAACAAGAAAAGAAACAAGAAGAGAGACAACAGCAGTTGCAATAAAACCTGAAACAGTGGCAGCTCGAACAGCAAAATAAACAAGAAGTGAGATTACAGCAGTTGTTGTAGGAAAATTAAATGCACAGAATTTACAAACACAAAATTAAAATTCAACAAAGTCTCTTAATATTACGTGACGTATCTTCTTCCATACTAGTCTCCATCTCATTGGCTTCTGCTTCAACTGAAATGTCCTGGACCGTGATAACGCCAAAGCCTGTTGGCATGCACAACCTTTGGCTTACCTCGCCGACCACATTTTAT